CATAACCGATTCTCAGGAATACTCAATAAAAGTTCTTTAAAAAAATACTTCAAATGAAGATTCATCTAAGGGTATGCATTAGAAAACAGGGACAGAGACATGAGCGAAAATATTGGACTGACCCCAGCAGCAACGAGCAGGAGAGAGACGATAGCTAGGAGATGCATGCTGGCCGTGAAGCTTCCATACTGGATGTCGAGTCGGCGATTCGCCCCGGTTTTTATACCCAGTTCCTCAAGGTCTGCTTCTACGCATGTTATTTGAAGAGGAGGCGATGAAGAGGGAAGACATGAAAGCGAGGTGAATGAACTCTGGGGCTTTTGCATCCACCGAACGACGTAGTTGCAGGGAATGCACCTGTCCGTCTCCCATCTCTGATGGATGCACTAGAATTGCAATAGGATTTTCGATGTTTTCGATTCTACATCGCACGCTTTCGAGCGAACGGAAATTATTCTATTTCCATTCTTGCTTTAAGGTATTTCTTTTTTTTCTATGATGCCTTGTTAATATGTTAAGTGCCAAGTGTTGTAAGATTTCATCCATGGATATGCTCGGAGTTGCTAAATGTTGAGAAATCTTCAACTACACCAAAGTATTTTAATTTTTTTTCAAATGAATAACTGTTGTCTGTGCATGATTTATGAATAGTATCTTCGGGAGTTCACTTAAATAATCATCCTCTTAATGACAGGTCTTTGACTTTCTTCGATGGTGCAAACGATTGCATCGTCGAGGAAAATTAAGGATTTGATGCAATCTCCATATTTTTTTATTTGTAAAGTGTTTATTAAGTAAATTTCTTAAAAGCTAACAAGTGGGGCAATTTCGTTGTGATTTCCCCTGTTCAGAGACAATTCCCCAAGGAGTCAGTTGGATGAATGGTCTTGAAAATGCAGTCCTCACTAAAGGAGTTGAAATGTTTTGTACGAACAAAACAAATCAAGATTTCCTGGTCAACAAAATTTTTTTTTCGAATGTTGAACTGCAATGAAAGTAAATTGCTAAGTTCTGACTTACTGCTAATAAAGCCAAAATAATTGAAATAGTCAACCCAAGGACTTCTCATACAATAGGCCTGCGGCTTTTTACGTTTTCTATGAAGTTAGCTCTCAGACTTGTCTCGTGAAACAGATGCGTTCCCAGAATTTTTTTAATTCCATCATTGAAATTGTTCACCCTAGGCGGGGGAAAAAATGTTCCTCTTTGGAGGAATGATCGCCATCTAGGTCACGCGATAGGTCCTTGTACACCTGCATAAGAGATCTGGCACGTCGAGAAGTTCGTCAACCCCTTGGAAACATATCGATGAATAAGCATCTAATATATATAGACGATCGTGACTGACTGACGCTAATTCTAACCATGTTCTAGAAATGTTACAAATCTGAAACTTGGTATACATGTACCTTTCGGGATGCAGAGTTCAGAAAAAGTCAGACTTTGGAGGTACATCCCCTTTGGGTACACATTTTTGTGGGAAACATTTTTCTCAAATATATATTGTGACAGATGAGGATGGTGTTCAGAGAATCATCTGAATGTCTGAATGTCAAACTGACTTACTAAGTCGCTATTTGCATGCTGAGTTCAGGAAAAATACTACTTTCATGATACATGCCATAGAGGCAAACCTTTCCGGGAAACATATTTTCAAATAGGTTTCTTCCCTTCAATCAAATGGTGGCACGTGGAAAGCTGAAACCTGGCAAGAACGTGTCTGCTGACGTACTGAGCTAAGGAAAAATGCCAAATTTACAAAATATTGGAATTATGGGGGGGTATTTCTTGGGGACGTTTTCTTTTTCAAAGAATTTGTAATATCTCAGCGAATCGGGCAGAAATAGAAAAGTAGCAGCTGGCGCACGCATAACGGACGTGATGTTGATTTAAGGAAAAATTCAAGTTTTGTTGTGCGTTGTCTATATGTCACGTATTTCAATGGGGACATACTTTAAATATGTGTTTCCCATTTCGCAAAAAATTAATTAATTAATAACTATGCAATGTAATGGAGCGCCGAAGGCGCGACCACAGCGTAAAATAGTATCGAGGAACTGATAGAAACACTACTTGCTTATATAAATGTAAAGCCAGCGACGACGCATGCCTAGTGTCTAAGTGACCTCATAACTTCGTGTTCGGACTCCGCCCTATCCGGAAAAATATTCGCTTACCATGGAGCGACCCTCATTTCTTTCTCTGTTTTCCTTCATCATGGGGATCCTTATGAAGATCAGGAGGGTGAGATTGAGACAATATGTATCTCTACTCTTCAAGGTTCTTCTTCTACTCTTAACACTTGCCTTCATCATGGATAACGTCCTCTTTCAACTGAACTTAAAGGACACCTCGTCCTCGCCTCGCCGTCATGGCATGGTAAAGGGTGAAACGACAGGTTCCCTCACTGACCTTCACTGGCCCAATATGCATTGACCCATGTCTCTTTCTTCGTTTGAGGACGTGCAGCTGGAGAAAGTCAGGAATCTGTTTCCCAAATTGAGAATTGACCAAAGTGAGGACTATGGAATTCTGGACTCTGTCGTATCAGGCTCAAAACTAGATGCAACTACCTCAGATGATATCACCTGGGTCACACAGTGCTCCGTTAATCATCTGAATCGCCTCGTCCTCTTCGCTCATGCTTGGCAGGTTCTCATAAGCTTTTTCTCTCAGTTTCCCACTCCCTCGAGTGTTAAAATGTTGTCATTGTGATACGTACAAGGCAAATATGGATTCAAAGAGAATGGTGGTGCAGACTAAGAGGATAATCGCGTATCCCCGACAAAAGAAATTGCTGAGAAGCCAGTTCAGTTTCTAATTCCAATAGGAAAATCACATTATTCAAAAAAATAGGCAACGTGCAATAGCCATGTGGTTTAGATTGGCAGGGGTTGTCCTAGGTATTTCACTAAGGGTACATAATCTGCAACCACGAGTGGGTTTTTTATATCCATAACGAAAATATGTTATCCAATAATGTGAAAACGAATTTTCAATGGCTTTCCCTTTATTAATCCCCCTCCCCCTTTTTTTTTCTCTACGGGGCTAAATAACGTTAGGCCAAGGGCTAAACAAAAGACTGCCTTTAGGCAAGTAGGATATTGAGTGGACCCTTNGTTATGTGGATTTTTTTCCAAACGGCATTTATCTTCTCCCGGATGTTAGTAAGGGTTTGCCTATAAACACTGAAAAGTTCGAACTAGTGTTAGGCTGGTTAGGTCCGAAGACTTGAAGATCATCGCACGGAAACAACAATACAACTTCAGAGCACTATGCTGTATCATTTAGTCTGAAGTTACATATTTTTCTTATACCGGGCTGTTTGACAGGCATCATCGAAAATGAATGCATAAAATAAACAGTTGCGATTCTTATGCACCAATCAAGTAACATAACGCCGGTAGAAATGGTGTCACCGAAAACGAAGTTCATTACAAATGACTCCACTGAAGTAAATGCTTGAATCTCTGACATCGTGACTGACTGACGCTAATTCTAACCATGTTCTAAAGCAGCGAGAAATCTGAAACTTAGTACAAGTGTTCCTTTTGGGATGCAGAGTTCATAAAAAATCTGAAATTGTAGACACATGCCCTGTGTGCACCCATTTTGGGGGGAGATATTTTTAATAAGATATATGTGCCCCAGTCAAACGGAGAGACATGGAAAGTTGAAACTTGGCATGATCGTACCTACTGAGATCCTGAGTTTAGAAAAAATGTCACGTTTTGGATACATGCCCTAGGGACATATCTTTAGGGGTGACGTTTTCAAGTATTTTTTTTCTCCACTGAATTGTACAGAGATGGAAATGTGAAACTTCGCAAAGCAATAACTGAGGTGATGATGTGTTCAGAAAAAAATTCAAGTTTTGTTGTGCATACCCCTTGGGGCACAGCGTTTAGCTGTATCGGCTTTTCCAAATATATACTTGTACCAGCAATAAGAGGGAACGGATGAGCTTGAAACTTGGTATGCATGTACTACTTTCAGAAAAATGTTAATATTTATGTGAAACCTTTGAGGGCATATTTTTTTGGCAAAAGATGGATTTTCCGGAAACTTTTCTGATTCAATCAAGGAAAGAACTAAAGAAAATTAAAACTTGGAGAAGAAGTTCATGTTCGATTCCTGAGCACGTGTCCTACTTTTCAAATACGACTCCTCAGAGCAGATTATGAAGAGATTCGAAGTTAGAAACACAAAAAGCAATGGTACTTTTAATACGTTTTTGCCCATTTTAAAAAAGATTATTAAATGAATCACTATCCTGGGAATAGTGCGCCAAAGGCGCGATAATTTTTCCTTCAGCCAGGGAAATCCTTAATGCCAAAGAAAAATTCTGGCCAAAAATTGAATCATAAGGATTGGCTGACGATCTGGTCTTCATGCAGGTTGGTGCCCTGCCTCTTTTCGGTAAAGAGGTTCGTGCCTGGCTGAACGAAAAATTTCCGGATCAATGGATGGCTTGTGGATCACAAACGATGCCCTGGCCGGCCTATTCTCCTGACTTAACGCCGTGCGACTTCTTCATGTGGGGTTTCCTCAAGTCGAAAGACTATGCGACCAAACCGAGGGACATTCCCAAACTGAAGGGACGTATTCCCGCCGAAGAAATGCGCCAGAAAACGCTGCTTGAAATCGGTGGGGGTCATGTTGAAGTTCATAGCTTGTAACCGGTGAACTTGTTTTGGCAGAAACTTTGTCACAATAAATGCTTAACAGACATCTAAATATTGTGAAAATTTTGTTTTGTTTCGTCAAGGAGGAAGAATTTCATACGCGAATAAAATCGTCCGCGATAAGTGGGACACCCTGTTTATCTAATATATATAGACGATCGTGACTGACTGACTGACTGACGCTAATTCTAACCATGTTCCAGAAGTGTTAGAAATCTGAAACTTGGTACACATGTACCTTTTGGGGTGCAGAGTTCAGAAAAAATTAGACTTTGGAGGTTCATGCCCTGGGGGTACAAATTTTGCGGGAAGAANTCCACAGTGAACATCCCCGGTTATGCGGCGCAGGAGACGGTGCACTGGAATCCTTTGGCCGTTAAGAGCCAATCCGTCCTGAATCTGGCGAAAAGCATTCCGTTCGCCGGGACCACGTAATTCAGGGCCGTGTTCCCGCACAAGCTACGGAGAAATGCAAAAGATCTCCTAGCAACTCTGAGAACACTTCCGAAATAGGCAAAATTCGCCGCAACTCACTACTTCCTTTCCCCGTTGCCGGAGACTTCGAGCACATCATCCAGACAGAAGAAAAGCGACAGGATCTGAATGTCCGGGCACGACAGCGTCATCTGATTCGGGCACTGCAATTCCAGAAAACGCCAATTCGATGGGTTTTTTTTCCATTTCGCTCAATTAAAGACGGGCAAGACCTCCGATTGAGGTTTCGGATCCTCACGGAGAAATTCCACTCGTAGCAGTAGTTGTTGGGATAGTTGCTCGGATAGTTCGGGGACTGGATGGTCGTGGACGAATTCGCCGTCAGAGCCTGGCTCGCGCTCCCGCATTGAGGGGCGAAGAAAAATCCTGGACAGAGACATTAACCGACGGGTTATTCACATGTTTCATTGCCCGCTCAACCTAAGGATATTCGGAATATTTCCTAACTCACTTTTTGATGGTGGACTCCCTTGTGCTACCTAAGAAAAGGGGAAGACCATAGTCAGCTTTTAAAAATGTTCAACTTAGTCTCTGTTCTTGTGAATTTATTGGTAGTTTTCGGCTGATGCGATAAAAAATATATCTTTTTATTGTATCGCTGGTGTAGGTTCGTGCAGTCCGATGAATGAGATTCCAGCAGTTACTTCTGCAGAGTCCTTTTTAATCAACTTCGTTTTCGTATACACTATTTCTCCTGCTTTTATGTTACTCAATTGTGTGTGTATAAATATTATGTATTTATTTTAACAATTGATTTTAGATGATAACTGTTATCCAGCCTTGTAGAAAAAAAGAATCTTTAGGCAGCATGATTGATCATCTTGCTCTGAAGTTGTATTGTTGCATCCATGCGATTTCTTTAAGTCTTCGGACCTAACTAGTCTAACGCTCGTTCGTACTTTTCAAGGTGTATAGGCGAACCCTTATTGTTGTTGTCCGCGAGAAGATGGATGCTGTTGGAAGAAGTACATATAACCGATTCTCGGTAAGATTCAATGGAATTCTTACAAAAAATACATCGCATAAATATTTGAAAATCGGGACAGAGACAAGAGCGAAAGGATTGGACTGACCCCAGCAGCAACGAGCAGGAGAGAGACGAGAGCGAGGCGATGCATGGCTGGCCGTGGAGGTTCGATAATGGATGTCGAGTGAAGGATTCGCCCCAGTTTTTATACCCAGTTCCTCAAGGTCTGCTACATGTGTTATTTGAAGCGGAGGCGATGAAAAGGGAAGACATGAAAGCGAGGTGAATAGGCGTTGGGGCTCTTGTATCCACCGAACGACGTAGTTGCAGGGAATGCACCTGTCGGTCCCCCACCTCCTATTGCGCTGGGATGTTCGAGCTTCGCAATTTTACACCGCACCCTTCCAAGCGGATGGAAATTAGGCCTATATTTTCACTCATGCTTTAAAGTAATTCCTGTATTTTCTAGGAAACCTATGTGATATGTAAACTGCTAGGTGCTCTAAAATTTCGTCCGTGAATATGTTTGGAGTTCCCGAATGCTGAGAAATCCTCAACAAAGACAAAGTATTTTTACTTTTTCTTTTTTAAAGAATAGCTGTTGTCGCTGCATGATTTATGAATAGCATTTCCAGGAGTTCATTTTCATAATCATCCTCGTAATGACAAGAATCTCTCCTCGTCTTTCATCGCAGATGCAATCTCCATCGGCTATTTTTAAGTGTTAAGTATTCATTTAGCATATGTGGAGTGAACTGCAGTGGATTGGAGAATCTTGAGGGCAAGAATAATATATAAAATAAATAGTTTTGTTTTTAGCGAGGAGAATGATGGGTTGGAATAACAATGGGTTTATAATGGGAACAATAAAGACGGAGGAAGAGAAATCGCACCGGGGAAGTTTCAAGAAAAGCTATCAGGTTTTCGTAGAAGTTTACAGAGATGTGGAATGCAAGGAAGGAACGATGGAAGAATGTCTCTGGCTTTAGGTCACGTATTTCGTTGTACCTAGCGATTATTAGGCATATTGCTAAATTTGAAGAAAAAAATTCAAATCGTGGATGCCGGAAAAACTTTTCAACTTTGAAGTTATTTCCAAAAATTGCTCATCTCTCTATAGAGAAAGTGGAATCACGTATTGTGGTCTCAAAAAGAAATTGGCGACAAAGTCTCATATTTTACAAATAGTGCGTCTATTTCCCATCAGAACGTCGCAGAAGGAGATCGCAAACGGCATAGTAGGCGTACTCTCGCCGCAAGTGTCGCGACGGTCTTTTAATGCGAGGCGGTTCGGATCGAGAGGCAAGGTCGGCGCGAGGGGAGCTTGGGGACGCTGAGTGCAGCATGGACGCTGAGGTAATGAGTGTGAGCTCATTTGCTTAAGTCATGGCTTAAGTCATAAGCAGTTCGTATACAGCGTCTTGCATCCTGCTCGATGCGAGAATGAAAATAGGTAAGGATGTATTCGCATACGTATTTACATATTGACAAGTATTACATCTTCACGTATGTAATACTTTTCGTCGAGAATGATTCTCGTTAGGATTTAAAAATGTTTCAAAGTTTCAAAATGAAATGCGAGCTATGAGACCAAGATGAGAGAAATGTTATCTCATCCCGATTCAGATGTTGCGGATTTTTCGCTTTCGGATCGGTCAATTCAGAGCGAAATCTTTTCGAGAGCTCCTCCACACGCGTTGGTGAATCATGTCCATTCTTCGATACGAAGTTCAAATGCTCTAAGAAACCATGAACGAAAAT